CTTGCTCTGGTGTCTGTTTTTTAGAATAAAATCATCCACAGGCGAGTTATTAATCTGGAAAAGCCGAATCTGTGAATTTATTGCCAACTTAACTGCAGTCTCACATGCCGTCTGCATGTCTGCAGCGGAGAGAGAGAGAGGAGAGATCGCTTGAGTTATATTTCCCCCCCAAATAAATAATGGTCATTATTGTATAAATATTGTTGCTTTCTAAAGCGTTCCAGCTCATGCAACAACTTTCATGGTACAGATCAGTTATCTGATCGCTGCGCTGGCGGCTCCGCTGAAATAATTGCGATGTTGGTGACACTGATGACGTAGATCTAGTTATATATAATTACAAATATTTTCCCCCCCTGTTCTCAGGTAAAACAGTCTCAAAGAGAGAGACTTTAGCTGAAACTGAAGAGGGTGCATAGTTTCTCCAGCCACAGCGCTAATGGGGCATTTACATCTGAAATGGGATTCATGAGTTGATAAGCACTGCGGGGGGATTGGAGGCTGACGAAAATTCTCGTATCTGTGGAATTTCTAGTGTTAACCATCAGTAGTGAGAAGGTACTGACCACCATGCCGATGGTGTTCTGTTGTCCTCCTGGACCCATCTCCAGACAGTCGTCCACCACCAGGTTCATGAAGGGATCGAACCCTCGTAGGATGCCCTGCACGTGTCTGCCTCCATTCAGCTTCACTGCAAACAGAAAACCAAACCTCTGAGATCACCGGAAAACACAAAGTTAAGGGCCGAACGGATCGCAGCAACACAATGAGAAATAAAAGGACGACAAACGTTCCTTTAAACCCTCTGATCTCTCAGCGACGCGCCTCCATTCTGACCTGCCCAGCAGATTATAGCAACTACAATCATTACAAGTCGGCAAAGAAAACCTCGCTCCTCGTTCCATCAATAAAACGAATAACAAAAAAACATCAAAAAAGAAAAAGCTTCTCATCAGCATCTTATTCAAATATAGTTAAACCAGTAAAATTATTCTACACCGGTACAGACGTGTTTAAATACGAAACAAGATTCTAGCATTTAGCATCTGGAACACCTTAAATCTAACGACTCTGTAAACTAGGAGACATTTCCTAATCCAACTGATCTGAATTATTCTGATTCAGTCATAAATCTGCAGAGCAGGAAGCAAGAAGATGAAGATAATAAATAAAAGAGAAACTAACAGAACGACAGACGACTCAACTCTGGAATAAATAAGTCAAAAAAGATCATTAAACAGAAATAACTGTTATCCATGTTCATCTAAACTTGGAAAAAAACAGAATCATCATCAAAACTAATATTTTTTTCTATCCTTTAGAGCGGATTAGATAAAGCTAATGTTTCAAAATAAAAAAAAAGAAATAAGGGTAAGTTAAACCTAACAGACACTTAAAAGGTTTACAGATTATTTTAGTCCTACATTTGTTTAAGAACTGAACTTTTCAAGAAAAACTTATTCAATATGACCTAATTACATAAAAAATATATATAAATAAAGGACTTTATCTTTGCGTTTCTGTTTGAATAAATAACCTACAACCAGATTTAGTAAATCCAACATTTCAATTTTAAATCTAGAGTTTTAATAAATGACTTTAACACAGCAGATTTAATGTTACAACAAATGGGAATAAACTCTGTGAGCTTTAGAAAAATCAAACAAAAGGTTTAAACTTTCAGCTGCTGGTGGAAGAGCAGCAAAAACTAAAACCAATTATTAATCATTTGGTATTAAACACTTCATTTAAATCAGTTTTTCTGGAAATGTTATCGGCTGATATGACTTTTATCTAATAAAACCAGCACCGATAAAAATAAACAAATTAATAAATAAATATACTGTATATATATATAAAATCGTGTTAGAAAACTGCAAAATAGTTCAAATATTAAGTTGAGGAAAACAGATATGTACGGACTTTTTTTCTCAGAATTCTGACTGAATCCTGTTAATAAAAAAAATTAGAAATTAAAGAGATCAAAGTCAGAATTCAGAGGAAAAAGTCAGAATTCAGAGGGGAAAAAAGTCAGAAAATTTTGAAACTTTTTCCCATGTTAAACCAAAATAAAAATTAAAAATCAGTTAACTTTTTTTTTTTTTTCAGTGGCCCTAATCCTCTTCCATAGATATGCCATTTGAATCCAGGAAGTGTTAAACTGTGTAGATGTTTGTTTTTCAGAGTTTGTTGTAGATCTGCTCATTCATTGTTCAGGTTATTAACTTGTTGGTAAAACAAAACATTTTGGAATTGCAGATTTGAAGATTGATAACATCAAAATTTGCACTTCCTGAATCCATCTCTAGAGAAATGGCCACTTTTGGAACTACTGAAAGATTTCAGATCATCCCCAATCTTTAACTTAAAAAATCTGAATTCAAGTTATATTTTAAATCTAAACGTATCGATTTATATGAATAACCTGGCTGAACTACTGATGGGATTTTCATTAATCATCATATTAATCTCTTTGTTGCCATGGTAACTGATTCATTTCTTCTTTTTCTCCCTTATCAATGTTGCCTTATATTTCCATTTTGAAATCTGGCTCTGCTATGCCTTCCACAGATGTGTACTGTTGCCTTACTTGTTTGTGCTTTGTTTAAATAACGTTAATTAAAAAATAACTTTATTGGTTAAGAAACTGATAATTGTTCTGAAATAGAAGCATTCAAAATAAGAACAGCAGCAGCTAACTATCGCTTCATAAGGTGAAATAAATATAAACCAGACTTACATGAAAGCTTCTTGTCCATAAATCTGAAAAACAAAAGTAATTTCAGTTACTGAGGATCAGTCAGAACAGCTATGATGCTACATTAAGGTTAGCATTCTGCCGCTAAAACAAAGCACCGAGCTAACATGCTACTGCTATTTCAATAAAAACAGACATTAACCTTCATCCTTTCTATCAAACAGAAGTAAACTCACTTCTTTAGCTCGGGGGGATGTGCTTTACTCATTTTCTCTTTAGCTTCACAACGTTTGCGTCCTGAGATCGTTTAACGACGCCGCGGAAGGAAAGCGTGCTATCAGCGGAAACCGGAAGTTGAGGGATTGAACTTTGAAACAGCGCCCCCATGAGGCCAGGAGGAGTAGGGTCCAGCAGAGCTGAATACAAGCAGAAGTGATGTAGAAACATCAAAACATGCCTAATATGGAATGTCTTCTTCTATTTCTTTGTGTTCAACTAAAACTTTGTTAATCTTTCAAAATGAAAATGATCATAGATATAATTTAAACTAAGTTAAATTTTATTTATGAGGCAAATTCACCACTAATGTCATTTCAAGTCAAAATACAAACCAGTCTAGTCAGTTCAAGTAATATTAAAATCATTCTCATTCAAGCACATTCATTTCCAGACCACTTTGATATAATAATAAATAATATTCTAATATAACTTTGGGATTTTTTATTTTATTTTTTACTTTGAAATAGAAGTGAGATGTGGAACTGTACTATAGGGACACACTTCCTTCCGTACAATCTTTAACATGTGGCAAAGAATTTCGATTATTTACGTTTTCCTGTATATTTAATTCTATTCAAAAATCCTAATAAATCCCAAAGGGAAAATAACTGCTCTAGTTACTCATAGTTTTGTTTAAACAGGTGTTGATGCTGCAGGCGGGAAGGATCTTCTGTTGCTGTCTGTGTTGCACTGCATGTGAAGAAGCTTCTGACTGAAGACATTTTTTGTTTAAAAATCTTCTGAAGAGGATGCTCACTGTTTTCCATCATGTTTTTCACTTTATGAAGACTTCCTCTGCGAGATAAAACCAGAGGTTCTCCAACATGCAGCCACCCTACAGTAGCATTTAAAATAGCCCTTGCTAGTCAAACACCACCCAAATGGCAGCCCACTTCCCTGCAACTCCCAACAAAATCCCCACCAATACCCAGCCAGTGCAGAGACGCCCTCAAGGACCAGACAAGGACCAGCCAAGGGCAAACAAGGGCCCATCAAGGACTAGCCAAGGACCAGCCAAGAGCCAACCAAGGGCCCATGACCAGCCGAGGGCCAACCAAGGGCCCATCAAGGACCAGCCAAGAGCCAACCAAGGGCCCATCAAGGACCAGCCGAGGGCCAACCAAGGGCCCATCAAGGACTAGCCAAGGACCAGCTAAGGACCAGCCAAGGGCCGATCAAGGACCAGACAAGGACCAGCAAAGGGACCAGCCAAGGGCCCATCAAGGACCAGACAAGGAACCAGCCAAGGGCCAATCAAGGAGCAGACAAGGACTAGCCAAGGGCCCATCAAGGAGCAGCCAAGGGACCAGCCAAGGGCCCATCAAGGAGCAGCCAAGGGACCAGCCAAGGGCCAATCAACAACCACCCAAGGGCCAACCAAGGGCCCATCGAGGGCCGATGAAGGACCAGCTAGGGCCCAGCCAAGGGCCCATCAAGGACCAGCCAACGGACCATCAAGGACCAGCCAAGCACCATCCAAGGACCGATCAAGGACCAGTCAAGAACCGTTCAAGGAAAGTGGTGACATTTTGAATGATTACTACTGTAAGCACCAATGAGCAAAGTCGTACTTTGTTGCCTAGCAGCAAAATGGCGCTGGGTTCAGGCAGCCATCAGGCCTGGTAGATCTGCTGCCTTCTGCTGACAAACAACATACATGTTCATTGGTCTCTGAGCTGCCCTGGGTCTGTGATTGGTTGATGTGTTTCCAGGTGATGGACTATCCTCTTGTCCAGGATGTGGGAAAGTCCTTCGGCAAAGGCAGCTCTAGCCCACCTTATTCTACTTTAGCTAATATAAAAAGGCACCATCTGAGGAAATACTCAAGGGCAGAAAAGCATTTGATAGAAAGGTTACCAATTAACTATTTTCTATTATAAAAAAAAAAAATACAAACAGACAAAAAACGTAAAGTTATGTGTAAAATAGAATAAATACCAACAATTCATATATTAAAAAACTAATTTAGGCTGAAGAAATACTTTTAGTAATCAATGTATTTCGAAATAAAAAAAATTAAACAAAACACTTGACATAAGTATATATTTATCCTGAGCTATCTCTATAGTTGTGCTGCTATAGGCTTAGACTGCTGGAGGACATAG